CACTCCTGTATCGACCTAGTAAGTGATATACTTGAGACTCTACATGAAATATTCCAACGCATGGAAGCAAGAAATAATTGGACCGACAAACAAAAAACGTTACCGAATTCATCTGGCTAAACAAGCTGCACTCGCTTATTTCAGTGTTTGCTCCATAGTCATGGAATCCATCGTTGTAGACATTGATGTTACTTGGAAAAATGCATGGATTTCGGCGCAAAGATTCACGTACCACTGATTTTAATTTGGCTCCAGAATAAGGGCCAATAGCTATTGATTACGGTTGTGCGGTGGAAGTTGTTAACCCCGAGTGTTTGATGGCATTTGATTGTGTGCATCTAAAAATACTACTTAGGGAAACTTTACAATCATGGAATTCGCAGATTTTTGCAGAGTTGCAACAAAGAACGTCTTCGAAAGTGTACCATAAAATTTCGGGTTTCCGAGTCACTATTTCATACCGTCAACAGAAATCCATGCTTTGTTCTGATCTGCTTTGAGTTTTATCTATTTATACTTTTTTACTTCCTTTTATTGAATATCCAATAGTACAATTTTCAGGAAGGGGGAAGCGGCCAATCAAAGGGGTGCCATCAAACACACAATGGGGAAAATCAGGCGTTGGTGGTGGAATTCGAACACACATCCTCGGGGTGACAATTTGGCGACGTTACCACCGGGCCACCACCTCCCGTAAGTGATCCAACGGATGTCCTAATACCAAAAACTTTGAGTTTTGCAGATGATGCAAAAATATGCAAAGTGGTAATATAGAGCGAAAGATCACGGTAACTTCATAGGCCGTTTGGTATCACTTATCAATCGTTGATTGAAAATCAAATTGAATTCAATGCATCGAAATTTACCGTAATGCATACATTGATCAGAAATCTTGGTTTCCGTAGTTCTTCAGCTGTCAACCACTTCTATATCCTACGAATGGGAAGGATCTTTCTGTCTTCGATCAAGACAAACTAATCTGATCTTAAAACTTCTCCAGGACACCATCAAAAGCTTCAAGATATTTCGGTTTGTTAAAGCGAGTCTTTGGCAAATTTGAACCTACCCTGTTCTCACGTTTTCTATCAACCAACCTGCGATTCCGCATGGAGTACGCCATTCACAGTTTGTGTCGAGGAATGCACAGCGATCTTTTGAATGTCTATAAGGAACGGCCACCAAGATGATCAACAGATTGTTTCCCAAAACCTATGTGATATTGTGCCCCACCGAGTGTTGTAGAGTTCGCGGAGGCTTCGAGTATTAAACCTACAGATTTCTGATCACTATCGTCGGGCCCTATTCGCCTTGTCGCCCAACATTCGCCTCCAGGACATCCATCCGAAATATTTCTCCAAAAAGCGGCGACCGCAATTCCGATATCATCTTCTTTTTCGCTCAGTTAAAATCCCCCGTGCTTTCCTGTGCTCATTCTAAAGTCCTTCACGTTCGTGCCAGATGAAACACTGATACCTCTTCAAATTCAACATGATTGAGAGTACATCAATCAGCGAAAGGCTTTCATAATCCTGATCTCCAATTGATCTTCTAATCATCTCAGTTTGGTAAAGAACCTTAAGGAACAAGAAAGGCAGCAGGTTGTAGGTATTTCTCACGATAAAACTTTATAATTGTTTTACGAAAATGCGGCTTGACTGAGGATCGGTTAATTATTCTCGTTATACGCAGGCAGGACGAACACAATATGCATCACCAAAGGATAAAAATTCATATGCTCGTAGTTCAAACCTTTGACATAGTTACACTTATTATGAACATCTTTAAATCGCCAAATTATTTTTCACTTTCAAGGTAACATGCTCCCAGATGGATCGGCTTATTCCCCATAATATTGGTAGTACTATTCACCTCCCGTTTCACGCAAGTTCAACATTACACCTGTGTGTGCCAACGATCTCTCACTAGTGTCTGTCTATCGTGAGTACTGCAATACAATGTGCCATGTCACGATCTGGGTTGACAATTCGCTCGAGTGTGGGAACATGAATTGGTGAATTAGTCAAGGAATCGGTGGAGCCATGGATCAGATTAAAAAGCCCACTGAGGTCGTAAGCAAATCGCACAGTGTATCAGTCGTGTTTTGGACGGGAGTGGGGGAATACGTTCGTCTGGTTTGTACAGGAAAACTCAAACAGTAACAGATCAATCGGCCCAAATATACGTGATTCGCTTCAGGGAAAATGTAAATGACCAAAAAACACTTTGGAAAAGTACGTGATTTTTGACGGTTTTGCGGGCAACAGATTCCCAAGCATTGCCCACTTCTCGCAAGATTGTCCTGAGGCTTGAATTCAATGTGTAACAGTATGATTTGTGTTAGGCGATATCATATGGGATTCACCAGGAATTGAAATATTGAAAATTCATGCTTTGTAACTGTAAGCTATTTTGAAGAACCGTAAACGGAGCTATTAAACAGATGTGTTTCAAAATCATGCGAAGGCAACATAAATACAAAAGCTTTGTGTATGAAAAGCGAAGCGTATAGGAGGGACTCAGCTCGCTTTGAGGGTTGAACGCGAAATCGTCGGCGTGGTGGTCATACGTCCCAACTGGCTGGGTTCCATTCCTGTGGCACGACGATGATATGTTTCAAATAGTTGGGCGGCTGGAAGAAATTGAGTGAGCAAGAATTGATGCAGTGCAGTTTGCCAACGTGTGAATTCATCCACGTCGTCTGTTTGCGGTTCTGTGGACAGTGGCATTGCCGTATGCACCTGATCGCTGGAGGTTTGTTCACTGGACGGTTTGTCTATCGTGGCGGTGGTGTTAGTGGTGGTAATTGACAGCCGTTTTGATAAATTTATCACCTCCTATGAGAATAAGAGAATACGTAACGTAATGTCTAGTGCAAAATGTTAAACACGGGTATGCGACTAAGTGAGCTATTCAACATGGTGAAAACTAACATGGACGATGATTAAAAACAATCCAATGAGGAAAAGACTCTGGACAGTTCAAACTAGTATTTAGAATACAACAAAACCAAAATGCAGTCATTGAAAACTTGCTTTTTGTTGGACCCAGCATAAATGTCTAAGCAAGTTTGCCTATCGATGGATTGAAAGCTCAACTGGAAAGATGAAACCAGTTCTAATTCAGTTAAAACTGCGTACAATAGCCACCTAGCTTATTTGCCAACAGTAGTCAAATTCTATCCACAAGGAAGTTAAGAAGAAACCAATAGCTGCGCTTTTTGTATTATTCGAAAGGGATTACCACTTCCTATTGTTTGTGCCCATAGTGCTGGGTGGATTCTGTTTTTTCCCGATCAAGGTCGTTGAGTATGCATTACCTAGAAATCTGAATAGGCCTTCTCGCTTGATTGCGTTGAAAATTTTTGTTATGACCGACAAAGAGCACTGAACAACTGTTTGATTTAGTTTGGGATTCGTCAGTAGTGCACATCTTTTGTGTCCCTGTCAGGACTCGGGTTGGGACTTCAGTCCATAACCCCTGAGCTATCTGGTTCCTTAAAAACATCGAAATTTTAGCCTTACTACGTTCGAGAGTATCGGAAAGTCAAAATACTTTGCAAGCAAAGGTGTAGCTACCAATGACTGCAACCATGTAAAGGCATACATGCCGACCAGGCAGATCAAAGACGGTGAGAACTTTCGAGCCTGTTACTTTATCGGTCTGAAACCACTAGATCATCCATACACACACCTCAATACGAATGCCGTAGGAAGCCTTAATATGACAATTTGTTCGCAATCATCAATCCGATCTGAGGACCGCGAGGAATTGTCTCAATTAGCAACCGGGAACGTTTCAAAAACTCATGCAGTAGCCCATAAATATATGCTCCCCCCGATCATATATCTGGCTTACTCTCAAAACTACTTTATGGCTTGTCGGCGCTAACAGTTTTCACTTGAATTGTCGCTGTTCTTTCTTCGATAGTCCACGTTTAAATAGATGGCTAGAAGCGAGTGATCAAACAAAGTGAAATGAGAAAACCACACTTGGTATTGAGTAGTCGTGCATATATCAATTTATCCTATGGCTAATAAGGATTGTGGCTTGGCTATTTGGTAAACCATGTCATGTTAGAAGAGTGTGCAGTTTACTTCAACTGTCATCGTACACGAAACCTATTCTAACACACGTTGAGACAACTCACTTCGATTTCGGGAATCGGAGAGGAATGATTACTTCGTGCATTCACCTTGGACTTCGTTAAGCGTTCTTTGCTTTTCACGTTATTTGTTTTCGGCATTTTCGATCCAAACGTGGATTTTCTGCGTGACAGATGATCTAAATAAAATCGCAATAAAACGTGGCTATGACGCTAGGGCAAACATTTGGGTGAGTCTAGTGAAAATTCCTGTGTGTGTGTGAAGACGTATGCTACATAATTAAAATCTGGGAAGCACTGGATAAATGCTTCCATCTGATTGGGTCTCATCAGCAGCGCGAACCCATCGACCCAACTCGGAATCCAACCCAAGACCTCACAGGTAGAACGCAAGCAAACTACCCACTCGGCCACCGGACA